TGGTTAGTGATAGATATATCAATCCTACCTTTTATCTGTATAATTCTATTTTGTTCTCAACTTTTAACTAAAATACTTACAAGAAATAACTAAAATATAACAGTTAATATTATATATATATATATATATATAGGGTGTGGTTTGTTTAGAGCCGAGGCTCTAAACAATCAAATTAGAGCCCACCTTCAAATAGTGTTGAGAAATGTGGTTTCAATATTGGAAATATCTGTGATAGCTTAAAAATATATTTTTATCTTTAATTATAAAATTTGTGTAAAAAATCATGTAGATCGAGCAGATCTAGGAAACCTTGAAAATATTTAAAATTGACGGTCCAAAAATACATTACAAGGTGCACTATTTCAAAAACTTGAAATCCATTTTTTTCTCATGTCCATGCATCTTGATGTTGAGATGATCAATTTGAGGATATTTTGGCATCAAAACAACCTCTTCTAGTGAAATTTTTGAGGTAGGCTCTAATTTGAGTGTTTAGAGCCTAGGCACTATATAAACTTTTTCCATATATATATATATATTTAAAGGGTGCAGTTTGTATAGAGCCTAGGCTCTAAACAATCAAATTAGAGCCTACCTTCAAATAGTGTCGAGAAATGTGGTTTCAATACTGAAAATATTTGCGATAGTCTTAAAATATATTTTCATCTTTATTTATAAAGTTTAAAGCTTAAAAAATAGTGTAGATCGATAGATCTTATGAGAACTTGAAAATTGACGGTCCAAAAATTTTAAAATTTATTACAAAATACATTAGAGCTTCGACTCTATATAAACTTTTCCCATATTTAAAAACTCCTCTCTTTTACTGATGAAGTTAGGGTGCATGAAAACCCCAAGGGATTTTCTTGAAGGAAACGGGGCTTTGGGGTTTTCCATTTCATGGATGCTCCAAGATGCTCATCTCAGCCAAATAGAACATATTGATGTCTGTCTGAGGCCTTCAGCTTTCCTATGCACCTTCATCAATGGTCTTTGTGTCTTGAACCAAGTAAGCCTCTTGAATCCTTGTTTGGGATGATCACACTCTTCAGTTTGGTAATATAAATCAATGTTGAAGTTTCTTTCATCAAAGAATGGCATGTTTGAAATCTATTCCCACTCTTATCTTCTATTTATAAATGATCGTTTCAAAGACCTATTTTGTGACTGTTGTTTTTTGATTTTATCATTGTGCTTCTTATGCTTGATCAAGCTCAGCTATAACTTCTTATTTTGTGATTTTAACATTGTGCTTCTTATGCTTGATCAAGACCAGCTATAACTTCTTATTTTGTGATTTTAACATTGTGCTTATTATGCTTGATCAAGACCAGCTATAACTTCTTATTTAGTTATCCTTGTCTGTTGCTTTTATGTTAATAATCAGGACTTCACGCAGACCTGTACCATTGGAGCATCACCTATTCTATTCTGGAGAATTGTATAAAATTTGTGAAAGTGAAGCATTTTTGCCTCAAGGAGTGAAAGCTGCTAAAGATTATTTCAAAATGAAAAATTCTAACAAATCAAGACCTGGTTCTGGCACAGTTATGGGGCCTTCAGGTGCTCATGGTATGAGTCAAGGTCGGCAACATGAAAATTCTAGTCATGGGAAAGGACACAAAGTTTCCGGTCATCAGAAAGGGGGAAATATGTCTTGGGCTAGTGGGCCACAACAAGCAAACTCGAATATGAGGCGATCAGAGTCCTTTCTGTGGGTCCTACTCATAAATAAGCTTTCCAAGAAGGCTCTCTTACCTGTATGTCAGGAAGTATCTTGTTCATAAGTCACCAAAAGTTGAGAACTTGTTTCTCATGTTTTGTGAAGTTAGTTGTACTGAGCATATGGGTCATCATATAAGATGTTACTGTCAGCCTTGTTTAAGAACCAGAATCTTGCATTTGCCAGCATGCTTACATGCAAGCCTGTGCGCTAGGAAGTTTCCTTATGCTACTTTTGATCAAACAGTGAAGCTTTGCTATAAACTACCTTAAGCTGTTAGAATATAGGAGCAAACCCAAAGCCAACATGCATGCCAATTTGTCATATATATGTTGTCGCTTTCCTGACAACTCTGTTTTATTCAAACAGGTTCATTTTTCACTTTCCTTTCTTAAAGGGATGTTATGGGATCTAATCATACTCATCAAACATTAAAAGGATGTTATTATTTTTATTATTACTACTTTTGTGGGTCTTTGAAAAAGTGTTTGTTTACCTCTTTCTCTGTATTCAAAATCAGGTGGTCATATTTTGCTTTTCCAAGAATCGATGTGATAAATCAGCAGATAGCATGACTGGCATGGATCTCACGAGCAGTTCAGAGAAAAGTGATATTCGCATCTTCTGTGACAAGGCATTTTCAAGGCTAAAGGGCTCTGACAAGGACCTTCCACAGGTTTCCTTTTGCTGAACACTCCCCTGGTTAATGTTATCCAAAATTTTCCAGAATAAGAAACTATTTCACGTATATTCTCAGGTTGTCAGGGTCCAAAGTTTGTTGCGTCGAGGCATTGGTGTGCACCATGCTGGACTGCTTCCTATTGTTAAAGAAGTTGTTGAGATGCTCTTCTGCCGTGGTGTTCTTAAGGTCATTCTATAACTGTGTTTATTCCTTTGGTATAAATTTTTCTGTATAATTTGTATTCGATTCCACTGAAACATACACATGCACAAATCCCTCCTTAACCTACAAACACACTCACACAAAAATTCTGATTGTCAAATTGTTGTTTCTCTTTTGTCACCTTATGATGGTACCTATTTACTTTTTATTGCTTTCAATTGACTGTTTGTGTACATTATGTTTGTGTAGGTGTTATTTTCGACAGAAACATTTGCCATGGGTGTCAATGCCCCGGCTAGAACGGTATCACTTCTCCTGTTAGGTTTGATAGTGTCAATGTATACGATTTCTATTTCATTGTTTCTATCACCTGCTAGTTGGAAATCGTTCTATTTGTTTAGCATTGCTTTAATACTTAGGGGGAGTTTTTATTTTCCTGATCAGTAACTTTGAAGTGGTATTTTCGAAATGTGGTCATCTTGTTTCTTGGTTCATTCGGCCTTGGGATGTTACCAAATAGTTGACATTAAAAAAAAGAAAAAAGAAAAAGGAAAACGGAAAAAAATAATTATATTACCAAATTCTTTGTGGAGATGCTTTTATCTGACAGTAAATCAAAATTTGATGTGTCTTTCACCACTAAGATTGGAAAATTCATACATATTTAGCTAGTAAACACTTTTCACTCCCTAAGGAATACTCACATCGAACAACCTAATGTTAATGACTTTAATGACTACAGCAAACTCATTGCATGCTACTATTTATCTTGTTTGCCTGTTATTTAAATATCGTAACTATCTTATCTATCTAATGAATTGAACAAACCGAAGGAATCTGTGCCCTTGATTTTTTTGTGGGTGCTCTCATCCCTGATATCCAATCAAAGAAATAACAATCTCGTTGATGGGGTTTCTTGACAGGTAGTTTTTGACACTTTGAGGAAGTTTGATGGCAAGGAATTTAGACCACTTCTCCCAGGTGAATATACACAAATGGCAGGGCGTGCAGGACGAAGAGGACTGGATAAGATTGGCACGGTTATTGTTATGTGTAGGGATGAAATTCCTGATGAGCGGGATTTAAGTCGTATTATGATTGGGAGCCCTACTAGGCTTGAGTCACAATTTCGTTTAACCTACACCATGATTCTGCATGTTCTACGAGTTGAGGAATTGAAAGTAATGTGGCAGCTTATTTGTTACTAGCATAATAATTGCTGTTTATATTTCTGCTATACTGTTCAGGAATTAGTTTATTGTTAGGTATTATTATGACTCTGTGGTATGATGGTCATGTTGCTTGCTCCATATTTTGTACTGTTATGATTCTCAGTTACATCTTCCTCCAAAACTTTCATTGTGCTAGAGAAATATTTGTTGAAGTTTTTATAAATTTGTGGAACTTTACAGAAGCTTAACTCTGATTCCTTGTATCATTCTCCTCCCATGAGTTAGTTATTACTTATTGATCTATTTTTTATTTCAGTATCCTATTGTCTATATTGTACAAGTAATCTGTGCCTTCATGTAGGTAGAGGACATGCTGAAGAGAAGCTTTGCAGAATTCCATGCTCAAAAGACATTACCAGAAAAGCAGCGGCTACTTTTGCAAAAGCTTGCTCAACCGACCAAAGATATAGAGTAAGTTCACTTACATTAAAAATTGTATTCATTCTTCTTCTTTATTTATGATTGATACTCTCACCCCTGTTTGGACTTCGAATCTCAATGGATTTGATTCATATCCTGGATATGAATCTTTTGGGAGATACGAATCCTATATAGTGGATAAATGTTCTTTGGGAAGCATCTGGATGGAATCCAGCTATTGCAAATGCACAGTTTGGCTTGCATGTTTGTAAATCTCCGAGTTGCCAATTTCTTTCTATTCTCAAGTTATAAAAGATATTACATGTTTCCTTTTTTTTGGTGTCAGATCTATTTATATCCATGTAATACTCCTCGTAGTTGTAGTGATGAAAGATTTACTGATTATGACATAAGTTTATTAGGGTGTGGTTTCTATAAGGTTGCAACCTTAAACAATCCAATTAAGGCGTGCCTCCAAATTTTATCATAGCATGTAATTTTGTTGTGAAAAAATCTTAGGATTATCTTAAAATCTATTTTCATATCTAATTAGAAAAGGGAAAAGTTTATATAGAGCCGAGGTTCTAAACAATCAAATTTGAGCCTGCCTCAAAATTTCACTAGAAGCGGTTGTTTTGATGCCCAAATATCTTCAAATTGATCATTTCGACATCAAGATGCATGGACATGAGAAAAAAATGGATTTCAAGTTTTGGAAATAGTTTATTTTTTAATGCATTTTTGGACTGTCAATTTTCAAGATTTTCAAGTTTTCATATATCTGTTGATCTATTCTATTTTTGAAGCTTTAAACTTTATAAATAAATATGAAAATATATTTTAACGTTATCACAAAGATTTCCAGTAGTAAAACCACATTTCTCAACACTATTTGAAGGTAAGCTCTAATTTGATTGTTTAGAGCCTAGGCTCTATACAAACCGCACCCATTAGAAAATTTTAAACTCCAAAAATGGTTAAAATCAAGTAGATCTATAAACATATGAAAATCTTGAAAATGGACGGTCTGGATAATGTATCACAAGATGCACTATTTCTGGGAATATTTTTTTCATATACATACATCTTGATGATCAATTAGAGGGTTTTTCGACACTAAAACAACAATTTCGATAAATTTTTGAGGTGCATCTGTTATTCTACATTTTAAGGTTGCAACCTTATATAAACTTTTTCCATTTTATTATGATATAATCTCATTTGCCGTCTTTTTTTTATGGTTTTACTTGTTACTACGGCTTTTTTTTTGAAGACCAAATTTTTATTTTGTTAATGTTTAGGAAAAAGCAGAGAAGGTTAGATGGATTCTAATGTATCAAGATAGAATCTAGCAAGAAGTTGAATTGGATGTGTTTCCTTTCTATTACCAAGCATGCTTAATTGTGTACGTGTTTAATGGTTTGCTTTCCTCAAACAGAGATTGCATTGCTATTCTAGTGATGATTATTGTGATCAAAATCGTTGTGGTCGTAAAGATCGAAAAGATCTTGACATGCCATACCATGGTAATTTACATTGATTACACAAATAAGGTACAATTTCACCATTTGCAGTTCATCTCGCTGAAAAGAAAACGCAGTCGAATAAGAAGAGAAAGAAGATGAGGAGGAAATTAGCAAATAAGGGGAAACAGGAGAAAAATGCATCTGACCATAGTATGTTCCAAATGTCAACAACACCACCATACCAACCATCAAACCTAACATAAAACTTTCCATATCCCATTCTTTCCCCACAACGATGCTTCAACAAGTACATAAAATGGACAGGCACTGCAACTGCATGCAAATGCTTGAAGCAGAACAAAACCGCAAATAAGATCCCCAAGAATATCGTTTCCCCTCGTAAGAATGAGAGAGAGCATCAAAATCCCAAGTTCCCAAACCCATAATGAAAATGCACATTGCCCATGGTAAAGAGAGGAAACCATTGGGTCAAATGACCACATAGAGGATGAGGGACGTCCTTTGTTAGCCCATAAATGACAACAGTTAGGGTAAATCAGCAAGCATATGGAAAAGCATTGAAAGAGGACTACAGAATTGGTTGAGTAATTGAGACCTTGAGTGAGGTGAACCGTGGTGGGATAAATGAGGCTAGCGGGTATCGAGAGTACTTTCAAAAAGGAAAATATTGTATGCGTTGGGGAATGCATTCCTACATTTGCGTCCTTGGAGGCATAAAACATCCATCTTAAAGATGGACGCAAATGGGTGGGTCCCTCCAATAGAAGTTAAAACCGATGATCTGAATATTTTTCACGCAATTATCATTTTCAAAATTTAAAATTTATTTATTTTTTACATGTTCATAATCTCTGTGTTAGAGATTATATATTCCTTAAAAATTAGGTCCAATATCCATCTCAAAAATGGATTTTTAAGAGGGGACTCATTTCTACATACGAGTCCTAGGACTCATAGAAACCTTGTCCATTCAAAATGAAAGGTGTGGCTATGTGGAATTCAAGATAGTAAATTAAATTTTTTTCTTTTTCTATTATTCAATGTACCTGAATTCCAATTCCATGGGCACTATACACTGCTATAAATCAAAATTAAAACCTTAAATAAAACCTAGAACCTTTACTTTTACTGCTAAAATAAATAAACACCATCTAGGAGCAATAACCAATCTTCCATTATAATTTTAAGTACAAAATGTATTCCTGAAAATTCATAAAGAATATAAAATATGACTGAAAAATGGCTGAAAAATAATTAAATCAACCGGAAAACTTACTAGATGATGCCTGGCTTCACCCCGACAGGGCTTGATACACTTCACACCCGATTCCCTGCCCTATGGCGCACCTTTAGTCCTTTAGGTCTTGCTGAAATTTCTGAGATAGGGAAGCTTTTCAGACAATACCTTTCAATCTAGGGCATTAGAGAGTATAAAAACCTATTTAGGTTTTGTAGGAACCCTATAGGATCAAATTAGGGCTAGGAACCCTATAGGTTCAAATTAGGGCTAGGCATGAGGGTTTATTTTGCTCTTGACTTGCTCACACACCACCTCCCCTTTTTTTTTCTCCCATGGCTGACATTACAAGATGAGAAGCAAGAAGAGAGGGTGGCTGGCCAAAAATATAAGAGAGAGAAAATTAGGCATGGAGAAGAGAGATAATTTTTGTCATAATTTGAGAGAGGCTCAGATAGCTTTATATAAAAATAAATCTTTCTCCTACTTGGAATAAGATTCCTTTTAAGTATGCCTCATTGAATTTGCCTAGCTTGACCATTAGCTTGTTAGGAAATCTGTGGGGAGTGAGAGATTAAATCTGAGCTATCCATCCCACAAATTAGCCATCATGATTTTTGGAAATTAGGAACCTTATCCTCTTATAATTTGACCCAAGTCCAACTTCTATTTAAATTAGAATTATAACCAATCCAAAACTTCATAATATCTTTCCAAAATCTGTAGGAAGTCAAAATAATTAGATATTTGGTCAAACCAAACTCCTAATTAAAACAAACTTTTAATGCTTAAATGATTTCCCTAAAATAACCTTCTAAAAGAAAAATATGTCACATAAATGAAAGAAAGGGGAGCATGTCACCCAAGAGATATTAAGTGGTCCCCACAATGGCCCAACATCCCACCCATGGGTGGCACACATGTGGGGCTGGATCCTGGGCCCCACTTGTGCCTTCTAATATTTTAAAATTACAAAAATGCCCTTTTGGAGGGTTTTATAGTAGAAATAAATTTTTTTAAATTCTGAAATAATTTGTAAAAATCACAAAAACATTTATAATATTAAAAATAAAATATTTAGAAGTGGATTAGTTTCAATGGGTCAAAATTAGTGACAGTAACGGCACTCCACTGGACCTTATAATCATGATCCTCTACTGTTTTCTCATCCAACCTAACAAAGTCCCATGACCCACAATCTCAATGCAAGAGCTCATGACTTGCTTGTCAAAGTTGGTTAATAGACAATGGAACCTTGATCCTGGAATGTAGATTTTAGTCCCCTCTTTTAAGAACAAGTCTAACATTTGTCACTGCAACGCAAAGGGAACGCTCCCTATACATATATACACATGTCCCTCTATAGGGCTGTTTTCTAGTAATGCGGTCATCATGGGTACATACCGTACATAAGTTGGTTGAGGCTTTTAGCCTTGCTCTCATAGGCCTACAACCGCACACATGAGACCACATAGTTCTTTTGACGAACAAACATCATCCCTAGGCATCTCTTCGACCTTAACAAGGGTTGACTTACAGTAAACCCTTCTCAGTAGTGCTACATTGCCCAGGGGTAAGCATTTTGGACATAACCAGGACCATAAATTGCCTAACCCATGGTCAGTCAACACTCACTCTCACTGAGGTGTATATTCCACCATAAAGTATCACATTTACAAGCTCTCTAGGCCTTTAAAGGCTACAAAACCCAACACAAAAATATCTAGGGGGCAATCAAAGTTGAAAAATATAATCTAGTTCTAGACTAATCAACACATATTTGATAGAGGAAGAGAAGAAATAAAGAGGGAAAAAAGTAAGAACGACCTTTTGGGAAAGAGAGAGACGTGCATGGGAAGTGATGGAATAAAGAGAACGACTTTTTGGGATCAGTCATATGTTTATATTTATTACTCATATGAAAAATTACAGACAATATTCTTGTGTAGGTTTATAACTCAAACATAACCTTGTGAAAGAACTGTCGTCGTGCTCCTTGGAGATTACAGACAATAGCAGATAATTGTCGTGTGAGGCTCTCACCCCATAGGTAGTCTATTGCCCATATTTTTTGCGAGGCGAACATGGTAACTGATGCCCTCACTAAGAGAGCATCGGTTTATTCAGGCGTCACAATTTGGCATAGTCGTCCGCCAAACTTTCTTTTCTTTTACTACATGATTTGGCGCAACTGCCTATTATAGGGTTGTAAAATAATGTGCTTTTTTTTTCCTATTAATAAAAATCCAGGTAGGAGGCTTTCTTCTCCACGGACTTACCCAAAAAAAAAACATAACCTTGTGGAATAATTAACTATGTCCATTGCTTACTGTTGTACTTTAACCCACCACCTCAAGTTAGAGCATGGATATTAGTCATGCTTAGCTTGACAACTATATCTTGCAGTCTATCGCAGGCAATTGCTTTGGTGAAGATATTTGCTAGTTGTTTTTGTCGATTTTACATGAGTACAAATAATTATGGCTGCAATTTTATACTTTATGAAGTGATAGTTTACCCCGATGTGCTTTGTTCTCTCATGAAATACGGGTTTCTGAGTAATGTGAATGATTGCTTCATTGTCACAAAAGGGTCATAGGTAATTGAACTTTAACTCCTACATCAGCCAATATAGTTTTCACCCTTCATATGATCTATCATAGCCCTGTATTCAGCTTCAACACGTAATATAGCCACCACATTTTGTTTTTACTCTTCCATGAACCAGATTCCCGCCAACTATGGTACAATAACCTGTGGCTGACCTTCTATTAGTTTGTGAACCAACCCAATCTGCATACGTGTAGATTCTAACACCCATATGACCATGATCAGTACAGAACAACCTTCTACCAGGAGATGACTTGAGATACTTCAACATACGACAGACAACATCTAAATGAGGTTTTTAAGGGGCATGCATAGATTGACTAACTATACTAACTCTGTAAGATATATCTGGTCGTGTAATTGTGAGGTACATGAGCTTGCCTATGAACCTTTGATATTGACAAGGTCCTTTAGTAACTCTCCCATCTGTTCATTGAGTCTATAATTGGTTTCCATGGTTGTATCCATCGGTTTTGCTTCCAGTACTCCGGGTTTTTTGGAGCAGATCTAGCACATACGTCTTCTAAAAAATAGTTGTTCCCTTCTTTGACCTTGCCACTTTAATACCTAGAAAATATCTCAGTGGACCTAATATCTCTTTTTGTCGAACACTAAGGTAAAATTTAAGATATTCGATATCTGCTAAGTTACCCCCTGCCACTACTACATCGTCAACATATATTACGAGTGTTGTAATCCTGATAATATTTTTCCTCACAAATAGTGTATAATCAGCTTGACTCCTAAACCCAATTCTTAGCAATGATTCACTAAATTTTTCAAACCAAGCTTGCGGTAATTTTTTAAGTCCATATATCGCCTTTGTATTTTCCCCTAAGGCTGAGACCTGAAGGCATGGCCATATACACTTCCTCATAAAGATCTCCATGTAAAAGGGCATTTTTTATACCCAGCTGATGCAAGGACAAAGATTTATGTGATGAGAATGATTCTAACATTGGTTAACTTCTCATTAGGGGCAAAAGTCACTTTGCAATCCATACCATGAGTCTCTTAAACCTTTTGCAACCAACTTCGCCTTGTATTTTTTGACTGTGCCATTTTTCTTGAATTTTACAGTAAACACCCACTTGCATCCTACCATTTTCTTTTCTTTAAGAAGTTTAGTGAGTTCCTAGGTATTGTTCTTTTCAAGAGTGTGCATTGTCTCTCACATTGCAGCCTTACATCGAGGTTGTGATAGAGCCTCTGTTACACAGGATGGAATGCTAACAATAGACAAAGATGATAGGACACATTGATAAGAAGGTGACACAATATTATAAGAAACAAAATTGCCTATAGGATATTGTCACATGGGCGCTTACCCTTGAGCACTTGCTTTTGTATAATAAAATAGGTCGGTTAATATCTGACACCAAGGTTGGACTGAGAGAGGAGTATAGTAGGATGAGAAGGGTCAGTACATGGTTCTAAGTTGACACTTGAGTCATGATTGTTTTCGAACTCAGGTTATAGTAACTTGTGTTTCGTTGAACATATGTTTTCAACTCCTCCTTGGTTGCAATTGGAGCATTTCCATCTTCATTTTGAGACGTCTCAGAAACTTCAAAAATTCTCTCTTCTTGTCTACTGTGCTACCCCCGAAGAAGAGATCATTGTTGTCCAACAAAGGAGAAATATGGAATAGATTCAAAGAAGGTAAAAATCCATAGAGGTGTGACTAACATTATCCATAGAATCATAATATTAAAGCCCTTTTTGATTTGCTGGATACCCTACAAAGACACACTTAACGACTTTAAGATTCAGTTTGTCTCCTTTAGGACCTTGAACATGGATAAAAGACACACCAGCGAAAATTGTGGGAGGTGTGGGAAACAAAGGAGTATCCGGAAAAAGTAGTTGGATAAGAGACTTGCCTTGAAGAACCCTTTATGGCATACTATTTATCAAGAATGTCATAGTAAGAATAACTTAGACCATAAGGTTTTTGGGATATTCATTCCAAACAAGAGAAAGTGAGTAACTTCCAACAAGTGTCCGTTTTTCTCTCAGCAACTCCATTTTGATGAGTAGTGTAAGGACAGGTTGCCTGGATCTCTACAACCTGATCCTTCAAGTAATCCCTGAGATACTTAAGAGACATATTCATCTCGATTCTATGAACGAAGTACTTTAATGCTTACATTAAATTCTATTATTGTGTTCTAACCATTTTATGATGAACTTGAAAAAGAGTTGCAACTTCATCCTTACGTCTCACTAAATAAGCGGGTGGTTAATATGGTACAATCATCCACTAAGGTAACAAAAAAAAGAAAAAAAAAGCGATAAAACTGGGGAAAGTTCCTTGACACATCAAAATGCATAATAGAAGAGGGATAATCATTCCTTTCACTATTGATCAGAAAGGACGTTCTGCAATGATTTGATAATTAACAAATCTCACATGGTAATTGAACTTAACAAAGAAAGTCTTGAGAAACAAGGAAGGAGCATGACCAAGATGAGTGTGGCACAAATACACATGTTCTTTATTAGCAATGCATGAAAAAGTAGTGATTTGAGGTTTTATAGGAGCCTGTTTTGGTATATCTAGAAGGTACAACCCTCTATCCTCACAACCATGCTCAAATGTTCCCCATCACCAAGCCTTGAAAGACAACAAGACATGAAAAATTTTACCCAACAATTCAAATTTTAGGTAATATTACTAACAAAAAAGATATTGTTACTAACAAAAAAGATATTATTAGACAACTTGTGGACATGCAAAGCGGACAACAAACCTATGGAGGAAGTTACTAGAACAATCCCTTTTCCTTTGATGGTTGCAAGGAATCCATCATCAATATCGACTGTCTCATGGTTGAATAGATAGCTTAAGTAGAAAAGAGATTGGACATACGGTCATATATTGAGTGGCTCTTGAAACAATAATTCAAGGAGCTTGAGGAGTCATGGAAACATGGTGTGTAGATGTAGAAATACTTGATTGAGTGCGTTGATACTTGGAGGAAGAAGAGGGCTCAGTATCATGAGTCGAGGCACGGTGTTTAATGTCAAGAAGTCTCGCTTGGAAATATGCTCAGGTAAAGAAGATGTATACTGATGAAGTGGATGACCAGTGACATCTTGTTGTCCAGGCACGGTATGACTAGTCTCCTCATTAGTTACCACAACATAAGCTTGAGTTATATTGCATTTAGGGCATCCAATGATCTCCTAACATGTTTCCTTGGTGTGGTGGGTTTTCCACAATGGGTAGATATGCTAATTCGTACTATTTGGATTGGCATATCTTTGATATGAGGCATTTTGGGGAGTTGCATTTCCGCGATAAATGCGACCATAAGAGAGCCATACGTGATTTTTGTGCTCATATCCTGGAAATCTCAATCCCGGATTGAGATATCCAAGGATACAAACAAGGGCCAGTTCTTGCTTTGAATGTAATATTTCAATTCCTTTTCAAAGATGATATGTAATATTTAAGTTGCTGAAACTTAAGTCAATTAGTCGGGTTTTCTCCAAAGTTGATCAGTTTGACTGGTATTTTGGCTCGAGTTATTGCATATGGATATGCCTACAGATGCACCTATATGCCACTTGCAACCAAGATAAAGAGAGTATGTGGAAAGGAACCCCATGTCTCAAGAATGAAGATAAACTTATTTTCTATCAATGCATTTCCTTTGGTTTCCTCGGATCACCTTATTTATGTCAGCCACGAGTCTGTTTGGGTTCTCTTTTAATTTGCTTGTGATGGTTTTGCAAATGGTTCTTCCCTGAACTTCTCGAACCCTTTAAAACGTCCATACATGTCAATTTAAGTTCATTTCTTTAGTACATAATGTGTTTCGTCGTACAACTTTATTGCTTTTCAGGTGTATCAAGGGTGAACCTGCAATTGAGGACTACTATAAGATTGCAATAGAAGCTGAGAAGTATAGAGAACATATATTAGAAGTAGTCATGCAGTCTCAGACTGCTCATCAATTCCTATCCCCTGGAAGAGTGGTGGTAGTCAAGTCTCGTTTGGTGAGTTCTACCAAAAGGAATTTGTGCATTACTTTCTCTAGCCTGATAATTTACCTGAAAAGCAGTTGCTGATATGAAGTATCTGACTAGATCCTTTTGGATAATATGTTACATCAGATACCTTTTAGCACTTCAATATGTAATATGTTGTTCTGCTTTCATCAAGGCTTCCTGATTGAATTTTCTCTGTGATGAGATTGTTTTAATTTTGTTCTGTTCCCTATTTTATGCTTTCATTTGCATAATGAGTATCCATCATCTATTGACAGGCTCATGAGCACATACTTGGAGTTATCCTTAAAACACCTGCTGCTGGCAATAAACACCATATTGTTTTCGCACTGGATGCGGAATACCCACGTTACAATGCAACTACTTCACTCTCCAACAAATTTCAAGATAAAGAGAGTGGTAATTTCCCACAAGGTGTCGTTATTACCCCAAAGGCGAAACGCAGGCCAGATGAAAAATATTTTTTAACTACTAGTTCTCACAAAGGATCGGGTGTGATCAATATCACTTTGCCCCACAAGGGCAATGCAGCTGGTGTGAATTATGTGGTCATGGAGGTTGAAAGCAACGATATTTTAAGCATATGCAATTGCAAAATAAAGATTGATCAGGTTCGGCTTCTTGAGGATGTCAGTACTGCTGCATGCTCCAGAACTGTTCAACAGCTTGTGGACCTGAAAAAGCAAGACAATAAATTTCCTCCTGCAGTCGATCCAGTGAAAGGTGGTCCCTTACACTCCATTCTATTGCGTTCTTGAACTTTCATATATTTTTCAAGAAGTTTCATGTGTTTTAATTTGCTTTTAATATATATGCTTCCATTCTCTAGGGCTATGAATTGCGCCATGTGAAATTTATGAGTTTCAAGTATCAGATGTTTAAAGAGTAGATGCGTCATGTGGCCTTGTGTCACGTTGTAACTCATAGTACAGCGTCTAAGCATGGTTTATTAACAGAAAATTTATTACAAAGCCTGAAAAAGTTTAGACTATTGGAATCTTTAAAGGTTTTTGACAAAATTTATTGAATTTTTAAGTCCATGTATTTCTTTAGTTAGTGTGAGTGTAATGAACTTGCACTGGCTGTGCATTATTTCAATACATAGTTATACAGATAGGTATATATGAAATCGTAGATACATAAATGCAATTCTAGTTCTGCCTGTCCAGATTGTTCAATATTTGAATGCATGTGATGGTATGTATGGTTCATCAAGTTTTATGATATTGGATATGCCTTTGCATTGGGTAGAACATTTTGTTAATGAAAGATGATGTATTTCAGATCTCAAGCTCAAAGATATGGATCTTGTTTTTGAGTACAATAAATATAACAACCTTTTACAAAAGATGGCTCAAAGCAAGTGCCACGGATGCATAAAACTGGAACAGCACATTGCTTTACTTAAAGAGCAGACCAAGCATATAGAAGAGGTCAATGCATTAAAATTTGAGATGTCAGATGAAGCACTTCAGCAGATGCCAGACTTCCAAGGCCGGGTATGATTGGCTTGGACGATAAATCCCCTTTTTTCGTTTTGGTGTGTTGTTTGGGATTTTTCTTGTTTTGTTCTGTTGGGTCAGGGGGTTGGGGGTGTTTTGGGGGGCGGGGAGTGTACTCTAGTCCAATGGACTATGCTAAAGCCAAAGTCCATTTAGGTCATCTCTTCCCATCTGAATGATGGACTTTGATGGAGAGAGTGTGGGACCCATTCTCTTACGGCGATGGAGAGAGCGAGTGGGACCGTTGAGGTTGTCTTATTATGGTGGGTGTCTCTCTCTCTCACGTACGTCATCATATCCATCATTTCATTGGATAGGGATGACCCAATGATTACAATAGGCGGTGATGGAGAGAGAATCAGACCCATTGGGGTCATGTATTTGGTGGTCTCTCTCACCCCATCATTTCAATGGATGATGATGACCCAATCTGCTATGGTTTTCCATAATTCATCAGATCATAGTATCCTTGCCATTTATTTGCAGTGCTTTGTGATTAGGCATTGGGCCAACTGCACTTGAGAAACATTATTTTTGTCACTGTTGATGAGCATATCATGGAACACTTCGTTTTTCATTGTATTACTTCAACAGATTGATGTGCTCAAGGAAATTGGATGCGTTGATTCTGACCTTGTCGTTCAAATTAAAGGCCGTGTGGCATGTGAGATGAACTCTGGTGAGGAGCTCATATGTACAGAGTGCTTATTCGAGAACCAATTGGATGACCTAGAACCAGCAGAAGCTGTGGCACTTATGTCCGCTCTTGTATTTCAACAGAGGAACACATCTGAACCATCTCTTACGCACAAGCTGGATATTGCAAAAAAGAGGTATTTCTCATAGGACAAATATAGTGACAACTATATCCTGTGCGCTTATCACTGTCCAATCACTTGATAGGACAGTGATGAGGAGAAAATAGGACTGTATAGGTCATTAATAGAAATTGTACAGTGGAACCCACTTCTTCCAACGCCGTTCAACGCATTGTTGGACAGTGATCCCACTAGGTTATGAAGTTCTTATGACCATATGGATCATATTATATGGCCAGTTTCTCATAAAAAATATGATCCATAAGGTAATAACTTATAATATTTTCTTTACAGATATTTTCACCATCTAATTGAGTGTCACGACTAGGATGCTGATACTTAGCTGGAATTCCGGATCTTTTTGATTCTTTTCTTTTTGACAGAGTTGTTCCAATGGTAGAGGTCTGAATTGTTCAGACTGAATGAAAGTTGGTCTATATTCCTTGAACTAAATCAGTTATGGCATTAATGTGGATTTTTAATTTGCATGACAAGTATTTTCACCAAAGGATGTCAATGGTTGAAAACCATGCAAGAATTTCATCTTGCTCCAATTTCTCCGTATGAGGGGAAAAATACTGGTTAAAGCATAATATTTTTATTCCATTTCTTATGCATTTTATTGAGGGTGGACTTGCTCTATAATTATTCGTTGTGAGATTCTTTGTTTTTCTCTCTGTTCTTTAATTGTATATTTGCATTTTAGCCACCCAAAGAACAAAGTGCTCAGCAAATCTAATTCCTTTTGCCACTTTATGGTGTGCTTTGAGTCCATGATTTCCTAATAAATGGTGAGAAATATTGCTTTGTTAGACTTTATGAGACTGCCATCAGGCTTGGGCAGCTACAAGAACAGTACGGTCTGCTGATTGGTGCCGAGGAATATGCACAAGACAATCTCAAGTTTGGTCTTGTTGAAGTGGTGTATGAATGGGCAAAGGTTGGTTTTTCTCTCCTCAAATGGAGCTAATCGTGAGAGTTATTTTCTATTTCCAAATCGATCGAAACATTACTTCTACTTTCTTATTAGGGCCCCTGTAATAGGATCCATATGGTATGAAATTTCATGACCTATTAACCGTTACCGTTCCATCAGTGATTGAATGGTGTCGGAATAAGTAGGTGCAACTGTACAAAATGAACTGTAATCCCCTAGTTTCTCTCCATCATCATCCAACTACTGATTGGAGGGTAATTATATTGGTCATAGTTGCCATGAGGACCATGTTATGTTTTCCTTTATTGGTATCATAGGATGTACCATCTAACAAGAACTCTCTCTCTCTCTCAATCTCTCTCTCTCTCTCTCTCTCTCTCAAAGAGCTCTCTCTGCTTAATTATGGTGATCTTCGGTTGATTGCAGGGCACACCCTTTGCTCAGATTTGTAACCTCACTGATGTCCCTGAAGGTTTGATCGTGAGAACCATTGTAAGGCTTGATGAAACCTGTAGAGAGTTCAGAAATGCAGCTGCTATAATGGGTAACTCTGCACTCTACAAGAAAATGGAGGCTGCATCAAATGCCATTAAGCGGGATATTGTTTTTGCAGCTAGTTTATACATTACTGGAATTTAATCCATGCTTATCCCTAATCCAATTTTAATTTCTGTCAATGGCATAATTGTTTGTATGTATTCCTGGAATCTAATCCATGACAATTGATTAATCCTCCTTTGGATTATTTGTTTTATAAGATCCTGTTGAAGATATAGTTATAGAAGAGTTGTTGAGTGACGCAAGAGTTTCTTTGATGTGTTGCAAAATTCTGACTTCAGTATTTTCATGTTGTTTTACTCAAAACATAAATTTATACTCATGAAAAAATCCTTATGAAAATTATACTGTAAAAGCCTATGTTTCATTTGACCTAAATTTAGGAAATATTCAAGCCAAAATTGATGCATTTGAATTTCAATGAAGGGATTGAAATTGTGTTTTTCATTTAAAGAGGACGCAACAGCATTTGCAGTCTTTCTATTGCTGTAGAAATGGGAATGTGGTAGAATTATGACTTTGGTAGGCGAAGTTTGTAGGGAACTTTTAAAAATACCAATGAGATGAAGTATTCGGTGATTTACTCATTTGGAACAATTCGAACTTAAGACCATGTGTTTTTATGGGTACATCGAAAGTAAATCAATGGGGAAACGGTTGAATTATTAGTCTCTCATGAGGAGACGTCATCACCATCCAAGCTTTATATCAATTATTTAGAGTCGGTTATGTGAGTTTTATTCTTACATTCTTCTCTATCAAGGATCATATCTTTTTTCTGTACTATTTTTTGAGTTTCAAATAAATGAACTTTGGTTATTAAGGAGGCATTAACAACTTTGAAACCCTCAAAAGCTTGAACAGATTCATGATTCACCAGACTCACTAAAAACTTATGTAGGTGTGTCATTTAAATGAGGCAAAAGCATCAAATACCCAGCTTATTCAAGACTTCTCCAGAATAGGCACATTTTAGGTTTCTTTCCCGAATAGGCGCATTTTAGGTTTCTTTTAACAAAATAGTTGAAGTGGTGCATGAGAGATTTTTTTTTTTTCGGTTTGGCTTGCGTAAGGTTGCAACTTTAAACAATCCAATTAAAGCGCACTTTTAAATTTTATCATAATTTAAAAAATTCTTAGGATGGCTTGAGAATCTATTTTCATCTCTAATTATAAAATTTTAAACTCCAAAAATGGTTTAAATAAAGTAGATATATAAACACATGAAAATCTTGAAAATGGATGGCCTAGATAATGTGTTATAAGATACACTATTGTGCGGACTCAAACCTTTTTTTCTTTTCATGTTCATATGTCTATGTCGAGATGATCAATTAGAGGGTTTTCCAATATCTAAACAACCTTTTATGATGGATTTTTGAGGTGTATCTTTCATTTTACATTTTAAGGTTGCAACTTTATATGAATTCTTTTTTTTTTTTTTTAATTGTTAATTGCAATAGGGCCACAGGTCAAATCTTAAAGCTATTTTTAAAATCTCACTAAACAAAAGGTTATCCGGCACTAAAAAAAACTCTTAAATTCATCATCTTGACCTCGACAATTTATGGATGTCAAAATAGAAAAAACAAGTATTTTGTAGCACATTAGTTAGAACATCAATTTCCAAGCCTTTGATGCCATACCGGGCTAGCTTTAGAAATACACTTTTAAGGCCAGCATAGGGGTTTTCAACCGTTTGCATTTTACAATAGAATTTGACTTTTTTTTTCTACAGATTGCATAAAATAAGACCATTTACCTTTTAGTATAAGGAGGTCACAATTACTTGCAACTATCTGATGTGAAATCTGATAGCTTGGGTGTGTCACAAAGTTTAAAAAACTTTATTTTGAACTTTGAGCTTGGTTAATTGAAAACATGTAGCTTTCACATCCAATGGTCAAGATTACTAGTAACCACCTTGTACAAAAGGTAAATGGTCTCATCACATACTTCCCTTCTTTTATCGCAAATCCGCGGCCTTACACTAACCGCCCCCTTTCAATGTAATAACTTTGCTAAGGTAATAAATTTGCTGATAATTTGATTGATTTGATGATCTCATGTTCTCAATGCTTTCTTTAAGGGTTTTCTTAGAATAAACCGTTGATGATTTTAGAAATTCACTCCCAAATTTTTTAACATAAAATGCATTTCATTTGTATTGCTCCTATTTTGAAGATGTTGCTTGAGACGCAATTCTAAACGTTGTCACAGATGGAAAGAATTACAAATAAGAGATTTTCATTTCCATTAGTGATTTCGTTTACGTGATTATAAAGTAGAAATTTATCAAAATACACCTTACGTTTCGATCGTTTAACATTTTTTCCTTTTTCTTATATTACAACTCTAGATCATGTGCATTTTAATGGCCATTTTGAAGTTAAATCAAACTACATGGTTAAAATGTTGATGGACTTTGAAGAAAGAGGGTACCCTTTTGTTTTTTTTGTTTTTGTTGTTGTTGATCTTCTATTTTTCTTTATTTCTCTTTCCTGTAGTACTCCTTCGTTATCTTAATGAATGTCGTTCTTCCTCAGAAAAAAAAAGAAGAGTGTACCCAAATGGATGCTACAAAAAGTGTTTAATAAAATATTTTTAAAAATATAATTGTTATTTTATTTTTTAGGGTAAATTTTGTAAGCATTCTATCCCTCAATACTTTTAATATCATAGCAATGACTCAATTATTTTCCATTTTTTTTTGCTTTTACCCTTCAAAAAATCATTGTTTTAAATATTAAACTATCATGCTCTTTTTTTATCCTACCCATTAAATATCTCTCTTTCTCCTTCTACCCGCTTATCATCTTTACCTACCCTCTCTCTAGAGAGAGAGGGCGGGTAGAGAGATGGGGTGGGTAGAAATATAAAAAGGGCATGTAGAGAGAGAAAGAGAGATAGGACATGCAATAGGTAAAGAAATAGAATGGTAATTTAGTTTTTAAAATAACGATTTTTTTAGTATAATTAAAAACAAAAAAAAAACTGAGTCATGGGTGGTTACTAAATGTATCAGGGGTAGAATATCTATAAAGTTCATTTTGGGGTATCGATAAGTTTTCCTATTTTTTATATTCAACAACCGTGCCTTAGAATATGGATAATGAAAAATTCAGATATAAAAATGGACTTTAGGGGGGCTGTGTTTGTACATGTCCGTCCGCCGACAGGTAAAAAACTTAATGTTATTATTTGAGTTTTTTTTCAATTATTTGAGATCAACTACACGAACCTTGTTACCATATTATATTCTATTAAAAAATGATAAAATTTTAATTTTTTCCTTGATCAGTTCTAAATCCAGAAGGTGAGTTGTATCAGGTAGATAAATATAAAACCTTATCAAATAACTTTTTTATGAATCTTAAATCTAAATTGAAATAGTAATACCTTAAATATATTGCGACAAAAATTCTCTAACAAAATTTACTTCAGCTTAGAGCTGCAAAGTTATTAAAATAAGGTCTTCTAACATCACTGTAGGAAGAATCTTTTATAATATTTTTCTAATAATGCAAAAAAATAATGTAAAACGTCAAGCTTATATCATTACACGTCAACCTTAAATCATTAGACTTTCCAAAAATAAAGCTAAACTTCACCAACTTTCACCTTAAAGAAAAATTTCTAGACTTCCAATCATATGTGAAATATCCTCATAAGGACGAAAATGACCTTGATTAAAGTCATATCACAACTGACCTCTGCTCCACATTCCTTCAACATGTTGCATGGGCACTTTCGTCCTACCTTAAAATACCTACTAACAAAGAAGCCTTATTAAAGTAAAAAAACTGTGCGGCCCAGATATTATTCCGATCTGCTGCCTAATGACGAAATCCCAGCCGTCCAATTCTGGACTGTCCATGTGTTCGAGCTCTGGAATTTTATAGAAGTCTCCCGCTCCAGCTCACCGTGAATTATTGGCGGCTTAGGTTTTACTCCTGTAACTATCAAAGGAGGAGAAAAACCCTAAAAATGGCGGATTTCCCGTGCCCTAAATTCCAGTGCAACATGTTCAAATATCACAATTTCTTCCACATTTATAATAAGGCTTTTTTTTTTTGTCCTGTTTAGTGATTTACTCTGCTGCTTTTTGTGCATTGGATTGAGGCGTTTTTTTTGTTAGATTTTGCTCTGAATTCATGAGAATGGAGTTTTTTTTTAGGTTTTAGATTGTTTCTCCTGGCCCAGTTGAAGCAGGAGGGGGAGTTTGAGGTGTATGTTACAGTGAATTGGTGTCAATGCTTGTTTGTGTGAATGAGATCTTTTGGTATGGAATTTGAGGGATTTTAGGGAAGATAATTGAGTTTTTAGGATTACAATGCTTTGCTGGTATTGATTTGGAGAAAAGCTGAGGCTTTTTTGTTCTGTTGTTTGTTTCTGACGGTTCTAAATAGAGCAGTTTTGATTTGTAGCAAATTTTATCCCTTTTTATTTGGGTAATGCTTGATTAAGTGAGCTTTATCTCCATGGAAACCCAGATTATGAGTCAAGGATCTTTTGCGCCTTTTCCAAAGTGAGAATTCTGTTTAAGGTCGCTATTGAATTCTCTTACGGATGCTATTTGTCTGTGATGAACTTTAAATTTCTGGTTCAAAATTTCATTCCGTTTTATTTATGCAAGAGATTGAATTGAAATTCACCATTGCTCTATAAAGAGAGAAAAAAAGAAAAGGATCACAATTACTCTGTTCTAGGATTAGCCTTGCCATGATTGAACTCTATCTTATACAATATCAAAGTAATCTTTTAATCTATTGAAAAAAGTGATCAACATAATTTTTTTCAATTTATTGAATTGTGGAAGTGGATGCTATTAATAGGATCCTGTAAATTCCTCTGTAGTTTGGCTAGGCCCTGAATATTTTATTTTCAATTATTCAGGGTTTAATAAAATAAAAATACCTCAGATCTTACGGGACCATTACATAGAACAGAAAGTTGTTTGTCAAATTAGCGTGATATCTGAAAATGTTTCCCTACCAAAAAGAAAAAAGAAAGAAAATGGTTGACAACTTGACATCTCTGCAGAATTTCAGAATTTCCAGTGAATGATTTATTGTTAATGGACAAAATGCGTGGAATGGAAGCTAGCGAGGGCTCAATTTGATCTGATTATCCTTTGAAGGGTAAGAAGCATTTTGTTGGTTTGTTTTTTTTTTTTACTGATATTGACTTGGTAATATTTTGTAGCAAATATCTCTGGACGATATATGGAACAACTGGTCCAGAAACTTGAAATGTCACAACACTACAATACTACATGATCCCATCAATTTTTAACTCCCTCCCTCTTGTCTTTAACAACTGATAAGGTATAAGAGTAGTCATTTAATAAAACATTGTCAGCTTCAGGCAGTGTCCTCATATTTCAAGTTTCTGAAAGATATGCACAATTTATGTGTGTGTTTTACAGTTAGTATCCTGAGATTCTACCTTCGTTTTTAAATATATACAATCTGAATTGTTTACTGATTTCTGGGCTACCACTTGCCATAGATAGTGACCCAAGTGCTTCTCATTTTGTGTTTTAGATGCTTTATTTCAATAGCTTTTTGGGGTCAAATCCCATGATTTGTCTTACATCTTCATAGTTTGAAGTGCTGTGGTGGTTCATTTTTTTCTTAAACATTGCGATTTGGTCCAGTGATGAGTTTTTTTCTTGATGAACTATGATGCGTATATAAATCAAACTGAAAAGCACGAAGGCACCAAACACAACAAGGGTTATTAGAGCAGTGCAAATTGCAAGAGAAAATTTCTTCACTATGCGATACATTTCTCGAACGATTAGATAGCCAGGGAGTCTATCTTAGTTTAGATATGCATTGGTAAAAGCTTGGGCAGAAAAAGGACTTCTAGAAAATGCTTCTAATCAAACTTGTTTATTTTGGAACATCTCGCTTCATTTATATTTGGATGCGATATGAAGGCATTCATTTCTGTGAAATGTTTTTGGTATAGAAGCCAATTGATTCTTGAAAACTGATGGTCTGCATGCGAAGTGGCAAACAGAACGGGCTTTCTCTATGAAGAGGATTACCATATCTTTTGCTCAGAAAGTGACATTTGCTCCCTAGGTAATATTACTAAATTCCGTTAATTTTAAAAGAATATGATGAGTTCATTGTGAAATTATTCTAATGCGGCTTTATTTTCGTTTGCTTGTGGCATTCAGTGGTTATTGGAGAAGACTTTTCAAGCTTGTCAAGTATTTGTATTCATGTCTTATTATTCAGTAAATCATGACGAGCATGAGAACTCCAGCCATAGTCTTCCAAGTAGACGAGATTCTGGTACTTGTTGCCGCTTTTATTATTTGCGTATTTGATTTTCTTGCTACGTTTATATCTTTACAGTCATTTGAGAATTTTGTGTATATTCTCTTTCTTTCCATTTTGCTTCTCTACTTCATGTGATAACTTTTCAATTCTCCTCTGAAGAGATCAGTATTGTTCAAAAAATGGAAAGAGTGTTATTCTTTCCACTTTCTTCCTTTGACCTTCTATTTAACATTTTTTGTAGAAATGGGAAGTAGCTTTCTGGTTGAATCTGGCATCTATGTGACATCTTTCGCTGCGAGCATCTTCATTGCAGCCCTTGTCACATTTGGAGCTTTGGTATTTACATTGGTGATTGCTTTAGCCTTCATGTTGGAATCTTGTCATACTAAGACTAATGGAAATATTGAGCTTGGAATGGCTACCAAGGAACATGATTATTGCAGAAGTTTAGCTTCGAATGCTGAACTTAATGGTTTTCAAATAAATGAGCTCCTTGCTGACTGCAAGGACTATGTAGTTCACTACATTAAGAAGGATCGATATCATCATGAACTAAATATGAGCATTCAGGTAGTGGACAATTACCTAAGCACCTTGGTGCCAAATAAAGATGGTTTGGATGTGATCTTAATGGACATTGATGGGATTTTATTCTCAAGCCCATCCAATTACCATGATCAGACACGGTTCCGGTAATTTCTCATCTGTTTTATGTTATGTCGCATTGTTGGGGTCTTGTTTTATCTCCAATCAACTATTTGGGAAGGTATGCAACAATCAAATGGGCGCCCTAGATTAACCATAATCTGCAAGAGGCTACCAATTTTCAAGGAAATGCTGGAAGGTGATGAAGAGAGAGTGGGAACTCACCAGAAGACAGTGATGTCCCAATGGTGGATCCTTCTCTATCTCTTCATCACATCTTATCATTTTATTGGATGGTGCTGATAGATTTGGCTTTCCATAGTCCATCTGATCATGATATGCTTTCCCTTTACTTTTGGCTGTTTAAATGGATGATTGATTGGATACTGCTTTTCTCTTGACGATTTTTCTGCTTTTTATTCTTCATTCCGTGTCAAATTCCATTGGCTATTCAAGATTGCATTCAAGTGCCTAAGCATGCTTTCATCCTCTCATAGAATTGTTAATTAATGGTTAGGTGTATGCCTCACTAAGTAGGCATATAAGACAGAATTGCTAATTAATGGTTAGGTGTATGCCTCACTAAGTCGGCATATAAGACAGAATTGCTAATTAATGGTTAGGTGTATGCCTCACTAAGTAGACAGAATTGCTAATTAATGGTTAGGTGTATGCCACATTAAGTAGGCATATAAGACAGAAGCCTTACGTACAACAATGAAAATTCACACACAAGTATAAAAGATTAGGAAAGAAGAAATAAAAATCAATGGAGCATACAAATTCAATGTATTGTTGAAAGAAAAAAAATACAAACTTATCACTTGCTTAAAAAGACCAATATTATTCTAGTTTACTTTCACCACTTTTGTGGTAATAAGATGATCAATCAACTGATTGTCAGACATAAATCTTAGGATCCACACATTAGCTTTCAATCAATAAAATTCAATACAAAATTTTAATATCTTGAACTTCTAAATTTCAAAGTTTGTGGCAAGTTTCAATAGTAATGGTGAAATTTCTTTCAAGAAGTGACTGGCCTCAGACTGGATAACTACTGAAGAGAATATGGGGATATTTATAACATATATGGACTAATTAAAGTGTGAAATTCTGATGATTGCTTACTAAATCTTCTCATGTTGTGATCAACACAAAAACATTGTGGAGATCTTTATTTGTCACTATTACCAAAAAACCGTTGCTTCTCATTTAGACTAGTCCCTTATCCTAATAATGGGCAAAGTAAAAAGTCAAAACTGTAATAACTAGTAGAAGGTCAAAACTGTAGTAATTAGTAATTATATTGTATTTGTTAGCTCTAAGAAACCAAAATAATACTTTGATATACTAGGATCGATCAATAAGGCGACAGAGGGCTGTATAGAAATCAGATATGTTATCTGCTCCACAGACTACGTAAGCATAAATGATGTGCAAATTTTGTAAGAAAATAAAAGGTGAGTAATTCTGTTATTCCTGCTTACTGGATAATAGCAAGTGGCATATGTGACCCAAAGTCCAAATTGTAGATATATTTATCTGATAGTTATTTCCCTGTTCAGATCATGTACATTAATCATATACATTCTATTCTCTACCCGTGCTGCAGAAAATATGAGCTTATTACTTCCTATCTATTGTGACTTAGGTTGTACCTTCAGAGCCTTGATTTAAGGAATAATAAGATTGAAAAGGCGAGGGATTTAGCGAATCTGCTTAATTTGGAGTTGTACTCTAAGCTCAGAGCTGGAGGATGGCTTTTGGTTTTGGTCACAAGGAGGCATGAGATGCAGCGGAATTCAACTGTGGATGCCCTCATCTCAGCTGGATTTAGTGGCTGGTCTTCTTTAGTTATGAGGTAAAAGGGACACACGTTTTTTCCTTTTTTATTTTTTATTTTTGGTTAAGCTGGGATTTGAACATCAAGCTGTGATGCCACAAGAGGAAGAACTGCTTTCCCTTTGAAAAAGCCTTCTATAATTGCATAAAAAATCTTCTTAAAAAAGTTTTTTTTGAAGCACCAATTTTTGGCTCTTCTACTTAATTCTTACTGGTTATTTTGTTGTTTTGGATTTGTTAGTTCTATCGCTATCTTGTACATCAAATTATGTATTACTTCGACTTGGGGTATTAGCTTCAATTCTAAGCTTTTGCCCCACGTTGTTGCAGATCCGATCATGAGATGCCAATGGAAAGTTGGGAATACATTTTGAGGAGAAAGGAGGAGCTCCGAAACCAAGGCTTTCATATTGTGAGTGTGATAAGCAATCAGTGGGATGCCCTAACTGGTCCTAGATATGAGGCACATAATTTTAAGCTTCCAAATCCCATTTATTTACAAGTAATAGAGAAACAACTACATTTGAAAAATGCACAGGGATAGTCTCTCTCTGGATGTTCAAAATGCAGTCTCTCTCTCTCTCTATCTATATATATATATATATATGTGTCTAGAAGTTACACTGTAAAAAAAGATAAGACAATACATGACATGTTTGCAATGAATTTTTTGTCTTGTGATTTCGGTGGCATTGAGCTTTACTTTGCGGAGAAGACTTATGTAAGGTTGGGATCTCACTTGTAGAGTAAGATTGCAATAATCTACACTATCCATTTTATATGGATGGTGTAGATTTGATGTCATTTAAAGACATGTTATGTTTTTATATTATTTTATAAGATGGGTCAAATCTATACCTTCTAACTAAAATAGATGGTATAAAACATCACAATCTTACTTCTACAAATAAGATTGTAACTTTGTACGTCTTTTTTACTTATTTTATTTCCCTTTATAAAGTAGGATACTTGGTATTTTAATGTTTTGTATCAATGATTTAGTCGTAAAAGCTTTTAACACGATTTTAAAAAGTGTCAATGGATCAAAATAGCCTTATCCAAATCGGGAATTATCGGGGCTGACTTGAGTTCTCCTATATGCTGGAAATTGGCCAATTCCCCTTCCAAGATGTCAAATAGAATTGGCCGTTCTATCAGGAAACTCGTCCATCCAGCCCATCCGTATTCTCACATTTTGTTTCTTATTATTTTTATTCATTTCAAATTTTATACTATTTTTAACATTCTCTTAAAGAGAGATTATCTTGCCCCTTTTAATGGGGCAGCCGCAAAGAAAGCTAGACTGCCCTTTTAGTCTCCCCCCCTCCAACCCCGTTTAATGGGGAATGAGCCACTAAAGCTACTATTGCTTTGCCCTCCCTCATCTTATATGAAAAAGTACAAAGAGACCATTTATCTTTGCGACAAGGTGCAATTAATCTTGATCATTAGATGTGAAATTAGATGGTTGTATTTATTTTATTGATCAAATTCAAACTTCAAAATAAATTTTTTCGAATTTTGTGACACACTCAAGCTATCACATTTCA